TACGTGATAAACCGTGGCTGAGACGATGACTGCTTCCATCCATCATTCTGGGCTTCTCTTATTCCAACCATGTGACTGAGCTGATTCAAGTTTATGACATCTTGGCAGAGAGATTCCTACAGAAGCTAATATCTAGATTGATACATGAATAATGCATTTATTCTCCATAAAAGCAAAAAATGTTAATTTTAAGAATAAGAGATGTCTCTTTCACTTCATTGAACCAGACCACAATGAAACATTTTGTAAGTCCTAGCAGATCGTTCACAAAAATTTCAGAACTTACCTAACAAACACTAGCCTTTACATTGCCACCGACACTGCGTTTGTTCTCAAGAGGCCATAGGTTTTTTTAAAAATGGTGTGAAGACGCTAAACAAAGGAAATCTCACTTTAAGAACGCAAGCTAAAAATCTCCTAGAAATCCGTCGTATAAGCTGCAGACTCCTCTCGCCACGCATTGAACAGGCTTGGCACGGCGTCCAGGCATGGCCAGCTCTCTGCTGGGGGCAACGTTCTTGGCTGTGAAGGCAGAGCATGCCCTCTGTCACTCACGGCGAGCAGTCCTGTCCAACTGTCTCTTTGCGACAACTTCATCATCAATCTCTTTATTAACAGCTCCACTGCAGACGGAGAAGGCAAACACGGAGAGTGCGCATGGCAGGTTTCTGGAAGGCGCGCGGCATCGCACACCGCGCGGGGCCAGGCTTCAGGAAAGCTGAAGCAGAAGCTGTAGCACAACGCTCTTACACGCCGTTTTAAGAAGTATCACGTTTGCCATATTTACTTAGAATCAAGCTTCTAATTGGAGAGAGGCAAGGGAAGGGGGAAGTTATTCCTCAAATGTCAAGGATATCTTCCCCCCCCCACACCCTTCCAGTTTTATTTTAATGCCATTTGAAACGCCCGATCAGTGAAGGGTACGTGACCCAACATTTCATTCAACTTTAGTAACTTTATCTGCTTTTGGATAGCGCATTACCCAAACTGAAGCAAACGCCACAAATAATCTTAGATGAACTGAGAAGTTTGAATTGATCCGCAGATTTAAAGCCTGTAAAACATTCAGTTATGTAGCTTTATTGAGGAAATTTACTTCTAAAAATACAAACGTAAAATGAGTTCATGCAGTAGATGTGCTAGTTTGCAAATAAGACGGACAAAAAGACATTTGCACTTGTAAGCTGTCCGGTATTCATGTGAGCCACAGTTATTACGGGGCAGTTTAAATGCATTGGCTATTTTCTTAAGTTAAATAAATAAATGCAGCTTTCTTACCCAACAACTTGGAGTTTTTAATCACCTTACACCAATAGTAATTTTCCTCTTTATTCTGTCCTATCGCTTGTCTAGATTCTGGCTCTTATGTAAAGATCGTAATTTACTGCAAAAACCAGGCTTGATAATATCTGCATATGTCATCAAACAGGTTAAACTGTTAGTACGCTGATGAATTTCACTTTTTCTAAATTCAGTACCTTTATATTTTATGAGGTAAAATAATTAACTGTGTACAATATTGTCATTCATAGTTTATTTTAAACATTCCACTAGAATACAGAGTTCATAAAAATATTTATGTCATTAAAAACAGATATGCTGAACAGGAATTGTGATCTGCTTAATTCATTAAGTGTGGGAGGATGAAAAAAGTTACCTAAAGATAGCATTCCAGAATTCAGTCAGAACAATACAAATATGCCTAAACTTTATTAAAAAAACATTCAAGTTTAAATATTCAAAAAGCAGATGGGACATCCAGCAGTGGTTCATCTTATTATCTTTTTCATAATAAAACATGCCCTCTGAAGTTTGATATCAAAGTTTGCATTCTTTCGGTGACGATAGCGGCAGATGTTTGATGTTTGTATATATTTCAAATTATTAGTTTGAACTTTGTAGACGTATCAAACCGCATCTGCCTCCACCAACAAATCCAAGATGCTTTGTTTCTACTGAACAGGTCCTTAATTCTACTAAGCTTACTAAAGTAAATTAAAAATGGTTTATTACTGATGATTTTCCGATGCAAACATTGGATCTTCAAAAAAAAAGTGAACCTACCAAGTACTCTTGTACACTACATTAGTACAAGCCAACGTGTGCGCACACAGACATTCGTGAGCGTACTATCAACACCTGCGCATTTTTAAGTGACAAAATTTGGTTAAGTATTGCTCAGCCACAATGATGCCAAAGGGATTCAGCACAGTGAGGCTACCTGACTAGTGTGTTTATAAAGTTCCATAACGGATGCCAGGATCATTTCAACATGTGAAATGCCTTTTGTACACTCATACGTATTATGAGAAAATAAACATACTCTGTTTCCTCAGTTACAAACACAGTAGTTTTTCTTGCATTTACAGATTCTGGCCCAGTAATATCTAGCATGTTCTTGCTATAATGAATTATTTTTTGGTTATTCTAGGTACTGAATAGCTCAGTTTTAACTTTCATTGTTGATCAAAATTGGTCTTCTCATATGGTACATTTATTACCAATTGATACTCATTACTACTCAGTTACTATATACTTGTAGCTACAAGTTTAAAGATTTTAGAGTTTTAAAAAAAAAAAAGAAATGGCATGTACACATACTACCTACAGCAAGGAAGCACAACTTCAGCTAGAACTCATCAACTCAAATGTCTGATTCAAATCACTATGTCTAAAGCCATCTGTTAGAACCACGGCTTATTAATGTTAATTATTTTGGCTACAATTGTAGTTTTCAGCTTCTTGTTTGCAGATCCTTGTGAATCCATGAACTTACTTCTGAAGGTTCATGACAAGTAACTTGGAAAAAACAAGCCTACTGAAGCCTATTGCCAGTAGGCTGAGAAACACTGAACGGAAATTTGTATATCTACTAGCAGATTTTTATTGGTCAGAGAAAATAAAAGAGGAATTAAAGCCATAAATAACATCAGCTGTGATGAAAGGGAGACAGGGTGGGCAAGGTATAAAGATGATGAATCTGTTCTACACAAGACAAGCAATTGCATGCTGTGAAAAATATATACAACACAAAGGTTTATTGTTTTAGGCAGGGTAATTATAACATGAAGACCATAATCAGCAGTGGTTTTAGCAGCTAAAGAAATTTCAGTCAAAAGGAGGCTACTTAAAGTTACTCACATCAAGCATTTGGAGGATTGGGCTCATGCTGATACAAAGATCAATCAAGTGATGCACAGCTACTTGTAATTTTTACTTTTATTTCAGAGCAAGCTTGAACTATTCGACAAGAAGAGAAATAGTGCCATCTGCTGACATCAGGAATAGTTATCACTCACAAGAAAAGCAAGCACAAGATGCCAAATCCGTTAGAGTTAATGGTTTCAAAAAAACAGAGTTCAAACTTTTAAAGAAAACACTATAAACTCAGATTGTATATCCACACATTTCTTCTAGTTTTGTCACGTTTAAAAACCTGAGATTGAGATGGACTCCTAATCAGGAGAAAAGGAACAGATGTTCTTAAAATGTTTTGGGGTGGTTTTTTTTGGTTGTTGGGGTTTATTTGGCAATAAACTCTGCCCCCACCAAGCGACTGCACAATCCACAACCTTTCCCTTTAACAGACTAGAACCCAACATCCTGCTGAGTGTTACTTCCACTTCCTATATCTAACATCATGCTTATTTAAAAGACACTCATTTACGTACTATTACTTTTAGGCCATACTGTATTTTCTCTTAGTAGAAAATGTATGAGGTAAGTATGAATTAGGAGAGTAAAATCAATTTTGTACATTCAGAAAAAAAAAATCAGACAACTATGGGATTGTGCTGTTTTTTATTGTGTTTTCAATGGAGAAATACATCATCTGTTTACAAAATAGCTCTTGAAAAATACAAGGAGTACAGATACTATAAAACAAAGCAAACTCCAGTCATGAGACACTACGTACATCATGCGAAAGCAACAGTCTGATCTCCAGGTTATGAAAACTAGAATTAAAAAGTCACTATACAGAAAGGTTCCAAGTTTCCAGCTTGGCAAAACTTGGGTGCAGTTACATGAAACGTTTAATAAAATGAAAAAAGATTTTCCGATGTGTAAACAAAATGACAAAGACTAAATTTGTGTCTGGCAATTTCGATCTAAACTCCATAGCTACACAAGATACACAGACACCTTGTACACTTCAACTGTTAATATAACCTCCTTTGGGGGGTGGACGACAGCAGGCTGCACAGGGCAAGGAAAAGAGAAATGTATACTAGACGTCTTAGACAAATGGCAAAAAAAACCCTTCAGTTACTGCACAGCCTAAGTAAAAGATAAGCTACACTCTGACTTTGGAGAATTAATTTAGAAGGATAAGGGGAAGAGTGTAAGTAATTTAATTTTAACATGAAAGATGCACGTGTAATAGGATGGAGCACAATGGGAGAAGGGAGTTCATAAAACATGCTAATCAAAGTATGGGAAGTATGATTTGACATCCCACATATTTCAGACTTAAGTAATAGCAACATGAAGTTTGTTATCTACATCTGGTGTTACTGTTGGTATCCCTCATGTTCCTCAAATACTGCTGTTCTTTGCTATGAGAGATTTAATTCTTCCAAAAGAAAAAGTTGTTACTTAGCTTCTTTTCATAGGACTACAAGAACAAAAAATAGGAGTAAGAGAGCTCACTAGATGTCAAGTGCTTACTAGAAATATGATTTTTAAAAATTCAATGTTGTTCAGCATGTAAAACTATTTCTGATGAGCCATCTAAAAATAAAAAGATTAAAATTCTTAGGGAAAAATCTTTTTGCTTTTATTTAAAATTTGAAGAATTTGATGCATACAGGACTTACGGAGTGTACAAAAATCATCTTATATTTAGCAATTCAAGGCCATCAAGACAGGTGTTATATTTCACAGGCACGCAATATTTACTTAAACGGTTTAGTCATGGGATAAAGTTTTGCATTTGTGCCTACAGGCCATAAAGTATTACGATTAGGTAAGGGGCAGGGAAGAACTTAAATGAAGGTCTGGCTTGTTTTTATTTTGTATAAATAACTATTGTCCTATATGGTGCATACAAGATGCAAAAAAACCCCAAAACAAACCCAACATTAAACCAAAATGTTTTCCCAAGAAATAAAAGGGAATAAGGAGTTTGATTAGCTCAAACAAAAGTTTATTTGCTGATCTGTATGCACCTTAAAACAATCCTATAAATAAAAGTAGACCGCATCTTAATCATATCCCACCAAGACCAAAACTTCCCAACTACTTCCTCAACGTATGTCATATAACCTCTAGATTTGACATTTCGTTTTAAAGGCTTACTGCTGCTTGATGGCAGTCGAACTAGATATACTACACACTTTGTTTTCAATGCATAGTATATCAGAGAAAGTCATCCAATTTGCAGATTACTACTATTGAAGAGATTCTTCAATAAAACAAAAGTGTATCAGCTGAAGATCTAAAATTAGTCATACTCCAATAAAAAAAAAGTACATAAAAGTGCATTTAAGGGATTCTTATGCCAGTTTTATCTCAATTTAGAAACAATGCATCAAACAAATTGAACCAGAATGTCAAGTATGGCTACAAATAGTGTTCATGTTTTTAAAGGCAGTAATCCTTCGAAATATTTAATGCAACTGTTGCTAACACATTAATTGTACTCCTGGCTTCACATACTAACCTGGACTTCCAATCAAGTGGTGATTTTAGCCCAGAAAGGGAAGTGCACAAATATACCTAAATCCATTTGCAATCATGTTCTAGTCTTGCATCCTCCGTTCTCCTTTTTTTCTAGCATTAGAAGACAACAGGTTGAGTTGGCAGATACTGTTTATGGACCCCTGAGGTTGTTTTTACCGGTTTAATCTCAATTTTATTGAATTCTTGATAACAGGAATAGGATTTGCAGGGAGAGCAGGGATATCTGAAAGGTCTGTACTGGGTGTTCTCTGAAAAGAAAAGAAGAAGTTTGGTTGTATTTTAACTTTGTAAATACCAAAAGAAGGATATTGTAGTAATTGGCACTAACTTTCAAAAACAAGATATTTAGAAGTTTTTAAGAACACAGCAAGGTAAGGATAATTACAAGTTATAAGTATAGCAGCAGATAGTTCCTCTGCCTACACAGTCATTATTAAGGAAAATTTGTGTAAGAGTCTCTTTCATAGTATGCGTTTCCTTTTTGACAACGGCAAGAAATAAGGAAGCGTTGCAGATAATGTTAAGCTTACTAATAACCTGTATTATACTAGAACACAATATCCACATAATAGGGGTGCTTGATTGGTGACATCCACCATCTGATTTCTATGTTTAGTATTTAAAAATTCCTTTGAACAATTCAGTGTGAAGCCTCAGCCCCTTACAGCTGAATGATGAAAAACTGTCCCCACTGCAAATACGCACCTCCGCATATTTATATTTTGGACTGTTTAAAAGCTCTTTACAGTCAAATTTCCAACTTTTCATAATGGTTTAGAATTACACAGGAAACGTATGATGAACTGTTTTACAGTGCTACATGACTACATTAAGAATTTCACCTTGAAAATAATCTCAACGCTTTTTTCTCACTCAAGAGTTAAATACCATTCAGCAAAATTGTATCTAAAGCCAAATAAAAGGAAAACACAGAAAAGGAACAGTCTCAAGGTTCAGTGTGATTCATTAATTTCTCACATGCTTTACACGCCTCTATTGTTTTGGTGGTGTTGGTTTTTTTTTAAATTTTGAAGTATTTCTCTTCCACTTCAGCGGATTATTCGACATCACAATAATCCAGTTATTATGCTTTACTTCCCATGATCTATTAGAAAATGTTTTCTTATGTTACAGACATTCAAAATTAATATAAGGTACATTTGATACACAAGAAAAACTGCATTAAAATGTCTGCTCTTAATTGGTGTTTATGAGAAAGAAATCAGCCAAGTTAACACACTGATACGGTAGCAAAGCGCAAGGCAACAAGGACTCAGGGCAAAACAGCTTTGGCCTCCCCCCTGCCCCCAGCAGCCCGCCCTGGTTGGTGCTGACCTGTGTTCAAACATGTTTCTATCTTCTGCAACATGAGCAGTGTCTTCAACAAAGCCAACAAGAATATCGAAAAATGACAGAAGAGGCTCACCATTCTTTTGCAGTTTCCAGATTACTTTTGCTGAAGTAACAACTACACAATTTGTGAAAGCTACAAAGCTTTACATAATCACCCCTCAACAGCAGGTGAAACAAACTATGTGTACTAAATGATCTAAAAAATTCCCTAAAGAGTTTAGAGTGCCCATGTAACATCTAGAGGTTTTGCCAAGTAATTTTAGCACCTTTACTCAGTACTGCTCATACAGTTCAAAAAGACTGATAAAAACACCATTAATACTATTACAATATATCTCCATTTCTAATCAATACATTCACTACACATCATTTAATGAGTAAACGTGCATAAAATGCTTTGTGATAGTGAAACTTTAATCATTGGAGCACTAAAAGAAGCTTAAAAACTCTAGTAAAGACAAAGATGTCTTCTCTAAAAAGTTGTTACAATAATAGGAATAAAAATTTATGTGAATGCCAGAGAATTCTTAACTTAATGTCTATTTTTCCAATGCTCCCTACGCTTAACACCTGCAGTGAAGTAGCACAGCTGGCTAACGAATTATAAGATTACAACTTCTCTCTCATACCAAATACCAGAATCTGAAGTTACATTTCAGACATTCTCAGCCTCCTCAACCTCTACCACGATATCTTTGAACAGCAGCTATTTAAAGCATTTGTTTCCTTGTTAGAAAGGATTATTCTGTGATGTGCAAAGCACAAAGGAATAAACTGAGGCCCTTACTTTGAAGGCACAATTCAGAAGAGCGAATCCAGCTTCGGTCAGTTTGTATGGCAAGCCATACATGTTTAGCTACAATGCACATTCAATAAGATCAATGACCATCTAAAACACAAAAATTGTGACAGTAACAACAAGCAGCTTTCCACACAATGGATTTATATTTAAAAAATATACATTTAACATCTGGACTAATTTTAATTTCAATGTTTTCACTATAGATTAGCACACACACAGAGAGAGAGGTGTTGTTTTGCAAAACAGTACCTGAGGAGCTGGCAGAGGAGTTGTCTGAAGAGTTTCTGTTTGAGAATTAACATTCACTTCTGTCTCATGATGCTCCTAAAAATCAAAAAAGCATCAACACAGTTACACTGTTTCCAATTATAAAAGCTATTTATACAGAACTCCATTAACCAGAATGCCTTAAATTCTGCATCTACAGAAAAAAAAAAGGGGAGCGGGGCGGCAAGTACTGGTACTTTCTGCATTGATACCCATCCTTTTCTAATACAGAAGTCACTACACTAGAGATTGTTTGCTGATTAGCAATGTGACATTAACACAAGCCAAATCACTTCTCAAGTTGTCACTTGATTAATCACTTAACACCTTTTATACAGAATCCTACAGGAAAACATTACATGCCGTTTGACTCATTAAAGACAAAGTGTAGTATCAAGGAAGACCATACAAAAAGCTACTGAATTTGTTGCACATTCAACTGCTTCTCCACTCCTTTTGCCATTCTGCCAGGAAAGTTTTCCTGCTACTTAATAGGTTGAATCAGCTTTCTGGGTGAACAGATGAACATCAGAGCCAGTTTTTCAGGTGGGACTGCATGGCTAAAGCAGGACAGTGGTACCTTCTCATTTGTCTCATGAAAACAACCTACTAGTTAAAACTGTACCATTTTAGCAAGCCACATCGTAACAAAAAAGCGTGTGTTTCAACAGGGAAAAACCTTTGTTTCTCCTAAAAAAAAAATTGTTAACTAAAGCAGTTCACTCCTCCATTTCCTTCCATGCACATTAAGGACACAAGATTTAGAGGAGACTGACAATAAAAGCTAACAGGATTACCCATGTCTTTTATAACGATCTGTATCCAGATGATCTATTTTCAATGTTAGAATTAAACGCTTACATGCATTTCTGCCTTCACCTGTCTTGAGGTCAAAGGGACTTCAAGGTCACTATATAACAAGCTACAATTCCTCACTTAAGGGTGTGGAAACTATAAACTGAAGCACATAAACATTTTAACAGATATTTTAATTTCTCAGTATATTTTGCAGTGTTCCAGGGACAACAGAACATGCTCTGTAAAAGATGTATATGCACAAGTGGAGAGCTGCTATCATAAGGTTAGAGACTGTCATCCTTTCTGCTCACCAATAAGCAAAAAAATTATCTGCTACATTACAAGACACTGCAAGGGCAGTCTTGAAATTCTGGGAATGCTGAAACTTCATACAATAATCTCACTATCAGAAAATATTTATTTACCATCATTTGATATTATTTTTATCTAAAAAGTGAAAAAGGTAGAACCTGGCTTCAGGATTCTCAGTCAAACATGCAAAAATCCTAATGGAATACATATGACAACTGTTCTTTAACTAAGTAACATACATAGAGTTTGGGGTACAGGCAAAGCAAGGCATGCAGACACATCTCTGATCTGATTTAACAAATTTAAATGTAAGTATCATCACAAATTTTTTTTGCTATCCATAGTGCTGTGTGAACGACCAGTAAAGAAATCACTGTCCTATGTGACCATGGACTTTGGCTCAGCTTAGCCTGGCAGTGGGTAACGTACTGCAATTCATTAAATACTGACATCTACATTGAAAAATAACATATTATTTTGTTATCTTTACTGGAGATTTTATACTATATCTGCAAACACTCTTAGTAATTCTTAGAGGAAAACAGTACTTTTCACAAGGAAGAGTCCTGATTAATATACACAAAAATTGTATGGTCTATGCATAAATACCTTAGTTTCCATTTTTTCATTCTCATTCAAATCTATACAGCTAGTCTCTTCACTTATTTCATCCTGCAAACCTGCTGAAATGCAAACAAACCCAGAAACTATTAAAAATCATCAAAACATATTTAAAAAACAATAAGAAAATAAGATAAATATAATAAAGTGTTTAAGATAGAATTAGTTGTAAGACTTAACATGCTAAACTAACCAAAAAATGCTTTTAAAACAAGAATTTAGAATCTAAGCACTTGTGCAAATGCAGTATGCGTGTCATATGATGAATATCAGCATAATAAAAAACCACCAACACCTCAGCAAGCTGAATACATAAAGCAACAATGCAATGACAGTAGAAAATATGCACCCCGTTTAACAAAACAGGTGAAACCTGGAATATGAGAATAAGCACTCTGCAGCTGAAATGAATATTCAAAGTTTTGGACATTGCTATGGTATGATCTCAAAATCTTAAATACCTCTTCAGTTCTCATTTTCTTGAGAGACTCTTCTTTATGGGGAGAAGATGTCCTTTTCACTGCTGTGACAGGGCTAGGCATTTTTGTTGCAACATTTCCTGAAGTTCTTGGTGATGGATTTAATAGATACGCTGAAGAAACAATTCTAGAGATGTTAGGCTTTGGTGGTGGAGAAATGGCTGGTTGTGTAGCAGTTTGAGGAATGCTTTCATTTGAAGTACCTATGGATAAATAATTCAAAAAGCTTCAACAAGACGAGTTGACACAACCATTTCAGTTCAATCACTCGTGTTCTTGGTCTCTATTCAAAACCACCAGTACCAAGCAGGCGTCAAGGAAGTGGTACAGTTAGTGGTATGAGCATCATGTTTGGAACAGCAGGTGTGCATACAAAGCACAGTTTAGTTTCAAGCTCATTCTGAGAATTCCTGTACTATATACAAGGTAGCCATGTCAGTGACACTCTGCCTGGTCTAATTAACCCTGCTTAACAGCAGGGTATAACCCTAGTCCAGACAGAGCTCCGTGCTAATATAGCTGTATTATTCTTGGTACTGAAAGAAGGTTTACTATTTCTGTACTCAGCCATATATATGCATTGCTAAAGACTGTCTTACACCAAAGCCAAGAACAATCTAACACTCCCTTTGTCACTTAAAACATGAAGTTTATCTTTTCTCAGGCTCAGAGTACGCAATGACAGATATGACATCATCACGGAACATCAGATAAAGATCTGACATCCGATACATCCTTTTGAAAAATGCTCCCCATGACAAAGCTCTGCCTCATCAAACCTCATCTGCCCAGCTCAAACCAATAAGCACACATAGGGAGATGCTCCAGGATTAAAAAAATTACACGGAGGAAATTTTTCATTAGTACCTATTAGGTGATTGCTTTTGATTAATCAAAACACAAGAATGAACAACTTCTGATATGCTTCCAAATCCAAAATAATGGTCATGCCATTTAAGCTCCATTTAGTGCTCATAGACAAACTTACATTGATGTACCTGTGACATGACAGTAATCAGAGAACAGTGAGACTCCACCTCACATGTCAGAGTGAAATGAGAGAGATCTCATCCTGAAAGGCCAACTAGGTGGTCCCCTTTTCCATCTATTTCTGACTTGCTCCTTGTATATACCTAAAGCTCCATCCAACAAGATGAGTAGCTGACTCTGCGAAGTGAGCACTTTCACCAGACAACTTTGTTCTTTCACTAAAAAGTCCAATTTATTTTTTTTTTTCCCCAAGAATGAAGTGTACTTTTTCTTGTAGAAAATATGGACAATAGAGTCAGCACACATAGTGGGACAATTTGAAAAGACAACCATAAAGAACATGTGTTCTGCTTACATCTGTGTCTTTTTTATTCCTAGAATCAAATTTCATGAAGCACAAGAAGCAGGAACATGGGAACACAGATTATAGACAGTACAGAACCACCTCTTGGGTTTAACTACAAAACGGATTAAAAGTAAATTCAAAAATTGGTTTTCCAGCTTTAGATTTTAGTTTTTCCTCATTCTACCAACTGAACTACAGACCCGCCTCAGGTCATTGGAAAACTATTGCTATTGTGAATAGCAAATATAAATCCTCAGGAATAAAAGAATAAACAAACACTGCAGCACAAAATATTCCACCGTAACTTCCTGAGTCCTAAAATTACTTAAATCTGTGTATCAAGGAGAATGTGTTACAGCATGTGTTAAGTAAAGACCTTAAACTGGAAGAAAAATTGCTTTACAAACGTTACCAAAAAAATAAAAATCAATAGAAACAATACACAATGCCATTTTTCTTACCCCCTGAGCTTTCACTGGAATTTATTTGTGGCACAGTGACTTCAGAAGCCTGTATGTTGGTCACAGATGCTGCTGTTACAGCTGGCGCAGGACTGCTTCTGCTAAAACAGAAAAATGACGAAATGCTGAACATAAGTGAAGGTATGGTGCTATACTATCTGCCTTTCACCACACCATATGTATGGCCAGTAACCATAGCCAATAGGATTTTACCTGCATTATAGAGCAGAAACTGTAATTCTATCTCATAGCAGGAAGACAGAAAGGAGCATTGGCAATCTACTATTAAATTTGAGCAATGAAAGCTATTTTAAGTATTTAATCTGAATCACTTCAGAGAGAGTTTTTTTCAACCAGTAAGAAATCGCACTAAAAAGGCAAAAATTAAGGCAATGTCTGCCCAAATAAGGTACACTGGAAAATATAGCAACTCTCTTCCTGAGGGAAGGAACAAAACCAGCGTAGAAGGACTAGAATAGAAAGCTTGTTTTCAGTCTACACTTACCATTACAATCATGATTTCAGGCTGGATTTCCCAAGCAAAGGCCTGGGATTTCACATGGGAAAAAAATTGTTTTTTCATTTTCAAGAAACAGGCACCATTACAATCATGATTTCAGGCTGAATTTCCCAAGCAAAGGCCTGGGAATTCACATGGGAAAAAATTGTTTTTTCATTTTCAAGAAACAGGGAAGCAGCATATGTCTAAAATCAACACAGGGCAATTTCCACTTCAAGTGTAACATCCTAGATGTCATAGACTTGTTTTAATAGCATGGTCAGCAGCATCAAGTATTGGAAATTGTTAGCCAAGGAAGACTAGAAGAACACTTGTCAAAAGGAGTAAGTTTAGTGAAAAGTATTTCGTCATGCACAACGTCCTATAATACACATCTAATACTACCTAATTGTAGGAGACTGATGTTAACTTCTCTGTGTATCAAATGGACAAACGAGACTCTTCAAAGAGAAGAGAGCAGAATCCCATTTATCTGAGCAAACTGAAGTTTAGATAGGAAAAACCTTAATACAGAAAGTTAGGGTTCAGATACACATTTATATGCACACTTTGAAAATACAATGGAAAATTATGTTCCTAAGCTTAATTTGCATAGTTATCATCAGTAATAGCAGTAGTACTACTGATTTCTCAGAAAGAAAGCCTGAATTTCTCTCTCACATTTTGATCCAAAACTCACATAGCTCTTCCTCAATCTCACACCTCAATTTCCTGCTCACCACCTCTCACAGCCTCCTACTGCAGTACCCCTAAGTTCTTTATCACCTTGTTCTTCTAAGTATCTTTACTCAACTTTGTAATTCCTTATCTAAACTCCAATGCCTATCCCCCAAATTCAGCCCTGCTCCAGTGCTCAAACTGGAAATAAGAACGTCTGCGAGCTCCAATTTGGAACATTCACACCTTGAGAATTGTAGTATCTCACGCATGCAGTATTTGCTATGCTTTGAAACACAAGTAATTCAGGAACACAGAGCAGCAACAAGACTGAAAGCCTTTATTACCCCTGAGAACTTCCAGAACTGTTCAATGGACTCGTCTTCATAGCACTAGTAGGCGAAGGCACAGACGTGCTGTTATCACTGTCCATAGACAAGTCTAGACTGCTGTCATTCAGAGCTGTCAACCTGATCCCTTCTGTCGAATGCTGCAATACACAAGACAAAAGAAAATTATTCGTTTTATTAAAGGCTTAAAAATCAACAAATATTCAAATGATGTAATATTTCAGTTATGAAATCATTAGCTGTTACATTTGTGAAGAAAAAAGAAATGAGAGGTGATTTAACAGTGATGAGCTTCCACCATGAACCGAGCATGTGTGTGGGCCTTAAATGCAGTTCAATTTAAATACATTTTTAGAAAAAAAAACACCCTGAAGGTAGGAGCATTTAAAAATTCAAAACGTAAATGGACAATTTTCAAATCCTTTTACATGTAAATAATCCACTATCCTGTCACTACAAGCATTTTACATTTTCACCTTCATAATTCAGGTACAGATTTGTCTGAACCAATGATGTTCAAAAACATAAGATAAGCTTATTATATTTAGTGACTGTATTTTCAGCTTGATTTCAAGTTTGTTTGTTTTCATGGGCTTACAGATATTGCTTTCATTAACTTCAAAGTAATACTGACATACATCAATTAATACAAAGAATTAAGAATCTGATTTCAACTTAGTGGAGAACAAAAAGCTTCCTCTGACCTAGTATTAAAGAGATGCATTACTTAGTATTTACATTGTCCTCTGAAAAGACTGTCTTACAAACAGATTACACTTGGTTTCAATAAAAGATTTCCTATTCCTTAAAAAAAGCAGTTAATATAAAACAGCTATAGTAATAAAGTGTGTTATTCAGACATACCTAAATCAGAGTATGTAACAGTGGTTTAGCTAGTCACAAAACCAAGCAAACCTGTATAGCTCTCAGATTAAGCTAACACAAAGCAGCAGGGATTTTGAAATAGAAACTAAATTGTTAAATTCAATATTCCACTCCCTTCTTCCTGCCTCCACTGAAAGTAAATCACATCCAACACAATAGCCTAATTAAAAATTTTGCTACCATGCTTAGGTACGGCCACACAGGTAAACTATATATTGAGGGAGAAGATAACACTGGCTAGGCAATGGGCAACTTTCTGACATCAAAATTGCCATTTAAAACTTTAAATTAGAAGAGCATACAATACCAAAAGCTGCCAAGCTGCAGGCTGAAGAATACTTTCCTTCAGTTATCCTCAAAGTATTCAACCTCAGTTACAGAAACAGACTACCATCTTAGATACAAAAAGGCAGCAACAAGCTCAACATTCTACTCAGCTTCTATGTGATGACTTGCAATTTCACATTTAGGAGACCTACAGGAAAATTTAACAACAACATCAGAGGAAAAAGCTGGAGATAGCAAGAATTGCTTGACCAATTGTTCTATTGGTACTGTTACAGAGCTTCCTCTAGGTGACCCGCATGTTAAAATAGCAAGGGAGCTTTAAAACCTTATTATTACGTTGTTTTAAATCTGTTTAGTTTAGGAAGGCCAACAAAACACAGTACTCCAGTCAGACCTGAAGATACTATCCATGTTGTTCATGTTCTGGGAAATCTAGTAATGCTACTACAGTCAAAAGAGATTGCATTGCCTACACAGGCAAAACTAAGCTTTCAAAGCGTGATTTTAATTCTTGGATTAGCAAATCTAAAAAACTGAGGAATCATTTCTCAATGGCATTTTTACTGCTCTCAAATATTAGTGAAGTTTACCTTTTTCTTTTTCTGAAGCACATGATTAGGTAGCAGTTGGTGAAGCTGCTTACGTTTCACATGCCTTGCTGCAATCTTCATATCCATCTCAAACATCTTGCTGTTTATTGCTTGCCTATAAACTACACAATTAGAATAACATTAAGACATACTGAAGCATTTTGCAAAGTCCACTTACTTGCCCAGGCAGAAACAATTTGCATTTCAGAACATTTATTATCCTCCAGAACAAGCATACTGTTCTTCCTTGTTCTGCAGGAAAAAAGTGAACTGCCTACTACGCTAGCAGTGACAGTACAAACATTAAAACGTTACTTTGGAAAAAAGTGACCTGTTTTCCAAGAAAAATATCTTGCAAGCATGTAGTTCTCTAAACTACATTGTTAACAAGTATGAACAGTAACAGTTCTGAAGCGAATTCTTCGTTTCATCTCAAAAGGACTAAAGATAGAAGTAAGATTTCCTCTTAAGAATTACAGTATTTACAGAAAAATATTTTCTTCACAGTTGATTCCACTTTTATTTATGCAGCTCCTAGAACAAATGGGTTCTAATTCAGGAGTTCAATGCTTGTGTGCCAGCTAGTATATTACAAATTTTTTCTGACAACTCAGGTAACACTATGGGTTGTGGGTGTTGTGGGTTTTTTTGTTTGTTTATTTTTGGTTTTGGTTTGTGTGTTGGTTTGTTTTGGTTTTTTGGGGTTTTTGTTTGTTTGTTTTTTACACAAAACTGATTTATGGTTGGTTTTTTTCTGCTGTGTTTTGTTTTTTTTTGAATGGTTTGCCTTTTGTTTGTTTTTTAAATTATGTCTATTATAATGAGCTATTTCTCTTCTCAGAACATTTACTTCTGGTGAGTCAACATGGTTAGTGCTAGTACTAAAGGAACTACTCTGCAATCCAACATCTTGAGTTAAGTAAAGCCAGGTAAAAATAAAAAATTTGTTGTTCTTTCACACAGACTTTCTACAGAATGCCAAACAAAGCTGTGACAGACATCTGAATAAAAAAATTGTTCTGTAGAACTTAAATACAAAAACCTAATCTCCTTTATTCACTCGCTAACTTACAAACGTCACAGAATCTCACTGTAGTAGGCTGTGAACACGTAATTAAAACACTGTTAAGAGACAGACACACAAAGAGCTTAATGAATACTGCATATTAAAGATCCTACTACACTAATTCTTGGTATTGAAGAAGCTCATAAAGCCTCTCTGTAAAGATTACACAAGTTACGGTTAAGGCGGGGGCATGCTCAGGAAAGCCAGACATGGTTAAAGCATTCCATATTCCTGATATTAAGTCTTACCAAAGTCCCAATGTAAGTAAAACCTAGCCCACTCCATGGCTCTCTTCCTCTCCCTGCTCTGACTAAAAAACAAGTGTCACGGTTTTAACCGAGCTGGCAACCAAACAGCACGCATCTGCTCACTCGCCCTCCCTTGCCCCCAAGGGATGGGAAAGAGAGTTGAAGGGGTAAAGGGAAGAAGACTCATGGGTTGAGGCAAGAACAATTTAATAAGTTAAATAAAATAAAATTAAAAGTAATAATGACAATAATAATAGTAATAATAATAACAATAATAGTAATAATAATAATAGAATACATAAACAAGTGATACACAGTGCAATTGCTCACCACCTGCTGACCAACGCCTGGCCCTGGTCAGTGATCCCGGAGGAGAGAAATCCCGAAACCACATTCCCAGAAAAGAGTGAGCTTCCCAGCCAACCCTCCTCTACATACTGAGCATGACATTGCATGATATGGAATATTCCATTGGCCAATTTGGGCCTAAGCCCACATCCCAAGCCAAGGATTGTGAGTCATTGCTCTGGCTATGCTCCCTCCCAGTTTGTTATGCACCTGCATACTAGCAAAGCATGGAAAGCTGCAAAGTCCTAGATTTCTTAGCAACTAAAAACATCAGTATATTATCAACATTCTTCTCGTATCAAATCTCATACTAAACCCAAAACACAGCACTCTTCTAGCTACTAAGAAGAAAATTAACTCTATCTCAGTCAAAACCAGGACAACTCTGCATCACCGTCTTATATGATTCTGATGAAATGCTAACACGTTTAAAAGTGCGTATGTTTTGAGAAATTCCCAATTTGAATATAGTGCAAGTCAATCAGATTCAATATCATAAGTGCAAGTTTTAGTATTTTAATACCAAAAATCTGACACGTACACTACTGAAGTATCTGTTTATAAACAATAAAGGACTTGCAAAACTGTAACTCGGATTCCTTCACTCCTTCAAAGCAGCAGCCAGGCTATTATAACTTTCCTAAATTCTCAAAAATTAGGATGATGTGTCTACAGTTTCACCTTCACCACTTACAATCAAAAGAAACATCCCATCTCTCAAGAAAATAAAAATCTCTCTGACTGAAAAAGGCAGATAGATATAGATATACACACACACAGACCCGCTACTGCAGCTATATATGACAATGAAGATATATGACAATTTCAAATGTTGGCATGATCTACCTAAAAAAAAAAAATATACGTGTATATTTACATTATATTCACTCAGACACCCACACCAGGGCAGGTGGGGGTGTACAGTTTCCTCACATCCAGTCTTACTGGGTCTTAGAAATCCAGAGACCAAGGTTGCATTACGTAGCACTTGAACCTATTCCTTTAACTCTGTAAATACGTAATACTTGAGCCTTAACTGTCATTTGTTTAAAAAAAAAGATACTGCAGATTTATTAGATATGCCTGTCAAAGGCACTGTTCCTTTCTTGGAGTCTGTAGAGTCACAGTCTCCAGCTGTTCCCAGTTCTTTGCTTACAAGCTTCTTATGCATGTTCCAAATTATTTTAAAAAGAAAACAACAGAAAAATACAAAAAGGTTTCTTGCACTGAGAGTTGGATATGAAAGTAAGAGTTACTTAACCAACTAGCTGGTATGAAACACCATGGAATAAGAGGCATTTTGTTCTAGAGTCTACCACACACTCAGCTTTAATCCACTCATGAATTCAGTTTCAACAAGTAATAAAAATATTTAAACTATATACATGTTGTCAAAGGAGGTCAGGCTAGGTATTTTGTACATAATAACCAATTTGTCTGTTTAATAAAGACCACAATACAATGTACCATTTTTAGTAAGATCTGAAAGATTTGTGCGCATCGCGTTAATCAGTTTTAATGAAAGCAAACTGAAAATGATTAGTCTGAAGTGCCTAGAAGCACCAAAACTCATTAAAACTGTATTTCATTAAATAACACCCTCACTCGTTAGCTGAATCCTTCTACTCTATCTCTAGATAGAATTCTACTACTGAAATAAACTACCTTGTGAACAAAGACAATAACTTTAACAAGTTTATTAATAGTAGAACATATAGAAAGCAAAACTCACCTGTGTCTGTAAAAGACTGGATATCGTAGGTAAGGTCAACACTTAAATTTTCAGAATTTTCGGTTTTCTTAAACACCAACCCAATCACCCACATTGTACGGTATTCTTCCCTGGAAAATTTTATATAAAACAGTCACATAATACTGACGGAAAAACTGAATAATCTATTAAATTATCTGCTGCAATAGACAACAGTTGTACATTTTAGCTCCACTAGCAATGAAGAGCTAGTCACAGAAAGGCAAAAAAACAAAGCTGGCTTAACAACATTCCCTTTTCATTAGCAATACAGAAAGTCATGAAACACTGACGCATTCATCTCCAGCAAACTTAATGAACTAAGATCACCAGCAGACTGCTTCACTCACCTGTGCTTCTGTATAGATTTGCTCATTTTTAGGAGTTTCAACTAGCTGTTGCAACTGTAAAGGAAATGGGTTTGGAAGCAGATTTTCAGCACCTGACCCTCAAAGTAATTAGCATCTATTTCCTGACTAAACAGCTTCCATTCTGCCACCTAAACTTCTCAACTCTCAAATTTCTCAGCTGTAACTGACCACAAAATGCTTTTCAAGTAAGAGAGGGTTCCCTTTGACAGCTCACCTTCAGAGAGCATACACAGATGAACAACTATATTCTGTTACAGAATATAGTGTAACACCTCTATAGCAGCTCAAGACACTTAATGTTTTAATTCAAATGTCTTTTCCCTCTATAACTATTTCAGAAGAACGCGGTTTTCCAATCAATCAATGAACAAATTTAGGCAGGCAGGTAAAAGATCATACATCCTTTACACTAGAAAAACGACCTTTCCTAAGAGCATTGCCCGCATCAAATCCTCTGAAACGAGCCAACTGGAGCCTGTCATTATGCAGGCAGTTCTGGCTGTATTTACCCACTGAAATGGTGCTAAAGCAGTACTGCCTGTTTTTGTCTAACTTCACTTGCAACATGTATGTAATTTATGAATACTATTTTTAAAAAACGTAGCACCACACTGTCACTTGAAGCAGCTGACACCTGGAAAAGGCTACGTGGAAGGTAAACAAGGCTTTTCACATACGTTCTCAGTGAAGACAAAAGTTTCTTCCCCATTCTTACATTTCACAGAAAAACATAATTCCTTAAAAGTTAATTACAACACTACCTAGAAACAAAATAAAGTCTTTAAAAGAGTGCTTAGTCCACACACTTGGAATCATTCTTTTGAGTGGAGGAGGAGGGGGTGGCAGAAGGGGGAAGGAGTTGAAAAATATATATAATCCTGAACAATTTGAAGTGCTTGGTATTCTCTCCACCGTTTCCACATCCCGAGGAATTCTAACATCAGCCGTTACAAAGTTTAAATTGTATGCATCTTAACTGCTAAATTTAATAACATTAAATGTACTCAGTTACTCAAGATTTCAGTTCTACTGTGCCTGATGTTATACTCAATTCCCAGTGCTGCCTCATAATTAAAACTGTCTTACCAACTGATGCTAGATGCTTAAACAACAGCAGCTAAGTAGCAGTAGCTAATGCGAATTATTGGTAAGAAATTATGCAATTAATACAATTGATAGCAAAAATATATTATTTCCTTGAAGAAATTTTCTGGCTTAGAAACATTCTTATACAGAATAAAGGATATCTAATTTTACAAATAGTACTTGAGAAGAGCTTAAAACTGTTTGCCTTTAGATGCTGTCATTAAAATTAATCCATTTAATATTCTACAAAAATGCTAGTTTATTAATTAATTGTTATTTTAGCTAAGCTAGTTCCTCAGAGTTACATGAAAAAATAGTTCTGCTTACTTGTCAGGATTCTCCTTGGGTGCTGGGAATGACTGTGGATTCACATGAGCCAGTGTAATGAATTCATTCTTCTCCAGGTTTCCAACTAGAATACGGATTTTTGATTCCACCAAGCCCACCCTGCATAAATGTCATTTATTAGCAAGTTCTCATTAATATAACAGGAGTATCTAACTTCATATATCAGGGTTAAACCCTCAACATTCTCCTTATACTAATATTTGAGACTATAAACGAACTAGTGCACTATACATGACAGATTAATTCAGATCAATAAACCAAGTGAGCACATTACAAAAACTAATGCAAGGGAAGCTTAAGAATGCCCTGAAGCTCTCATTATGGTCTGATTTTACAAATGGAATTAAACAGCAAGACATTACACAACAGCAAAAGGCAGTCAGCAAGAAACTCCTACATATTTCTCCAATATTCTTTTGCCTTCAGACGATGAATTTTAAAGATGAAGAAATTCCTAATATCTGAAAATCTTAAAACTTCTCTCATAAAAGAGAGCAGAAACAAAGGAAAGAGGCATATCTGTTTGGAGAAACAGTATTTCTAGATATAGGAAACTACCTCCTCACAACTGCTTTTCAAAAAAGCGCGTAAGGCTTAAGAAAATAGATTAATGAACCTGATAGCGCTGTGAAGAAGCAAAATTCAAGTGACAGCCTTAATCCCCTGGTTCTTAATTTTTACTGTTTTTCAGAATCATCCCATCTTCATCTGTTTAATTTTGAAACACTGAAGCTCCACTTCGTTTCATTAAAAAGTACACTAAATATTCCCTTGTGTCCAAGGTGACAGGTTTTTTGTTTGGTGGGTTTTGTTTTTTTTTGTTGTTGTTTGGTGGGTTTTGGTTTTCTTTTATATAGCACACATTATACTCACCATTCTAGTCGCTGTTTTTCTGTCGGTGCGCTTGCTAGAAGTACAATATAATGCCTTTGGAGATAAAGACAATATGCTATTCTATTTATACTTCTAAAACTAGACATTCAAACCTTAACATTAAAACTTTGCATTAAGTTCTACATTTCAAACTACGGATTATTAGCTTAAGTATATACCCTATAATAAAATTAAGCACTGTTAAGCAGACAAAGGGGCTATGCCCCCCAAGCGTGACTAATGGACTTCTTGAAACATTTCAGATTTTAGGGACATTTGCAACTACGCTTTAATACCAGTAACCTTAATTAAAGGCTAGAAAACCTTAATAAAAGGCTAGTTGAAAAACAGTACAGATATTTCAATACCTAATGAGATCAGGGATTTAGTTGACTACTAGAGATTCCTTGCATGTAAAAATAATTGTACACAAACATCTATACATATGTCAGTAGTCTTAGTTGCAACATTATTTCTGAATAGTTAGAAGAGTGGTTAGCATATATTCATTTGTTGAAAGTAAACAATAACATCAAGTGTGGTATAAGAAAAAATTTATATCTGCATATTAAAATTGTCTGAAGACACTTATCTGAAACTTCACAAGGAATGTTTCGTCTGATGATAATTCTTAAGCTCTCAATTATATTCCAGGATAATCAGTGTATACTCACTGAAAGTAAATTTCAAAGAAACAGTACACAAAGCAATGCTATTTTAAACCAAGAAGTCCAGAGAGTAGAACGGGAGATGATTACTTTTAACTTGAGTTCACAATGAGGGAGGCAGTGGAACCTTACATGTCTACAGTCAAGTTTTTTCAGAAATTTAGCTGGGAAGTCTATTTTAACATCCTAGGTCGTCCAACTTGGCATTACTCTATGCTGATATGGTATATTTAAGTATTTTCAGAGTTGGATTTAAAGAACAATAGCAACGTGAGGGATTAGACCCTAGCACATAACACCTCACAGAAAGGAACGTAAGGTCAACGATGGTGAAAAACTATGGTGCAAAAGGAGTCCTCTGATACTATAGGCCTTCAAGTAGTAACAATAAATCAAAATCAACGGATCAAATCAGTAACTACATGTTTCTGTACTTATCTTTAGGTGGCAAAACTACATGCTAATTGCTGCTTTGAATTCAGCCAGAGAAGGTCAATGAAGTACGAGGACTGGAAGAGAGACGTTTTGGAGAAACAACTCCCCAATTTGGAATAGGGCACTTAATCTACTTATTTTTGGCATTATTAACTTCTTCATAGAAAAATGTTAGGGAGTTTTTCCTTTTATCTTATTGAAATCCTCATTTTAGATACTTCTAGGATACCATGGCTCAATTATTTATATTCTTAAAATATCTGAATTATTGCTTGGGGGGAGAATAAATATATAAGTGTAATAGATTTTCCCAGAAAGTGAAATCTCTCTGGGAACACACATTCTGCCAACTCAAGTGGAATTACCTTAAAAAAAAAAAAAACAACACAGTCCTTTACTCAAATTATTTATGAGAAGTTACTCATTTCTAATTATCAATTTCTTCTAAGAAGCACTAGATATACAACTATCATCCATAAGATTCCTACATCAACATACCACACACAGTTGCAGAAAGTTTCATTTAGTAGGAAAGACAATTTAAGCTTTTTGTTGTTTTTAAACCATGTATGAACTGAAAGACACAAATCTCAAATCTGCAAGGATTTGAAGAAACTCAGTTTCCAATTACTTATTAGCTCTTTGAAACAAACTTCTGAAGAATAATTAAAAAAAAAAAATGAAGTCTCAACTAGCTTGTGAGCACCTAGAAAAAAAAAAAAACTAGGCCTTATTTATGAAGGAAGTTATCTATTTTTGCTCAGGTAGTGCTAGCAGCTAGCTGAAAAAGAAAGAAAAAGAAAAGATGCAATTTCTACCTTCCCCCTCCTCACAACTGTTAAACAGTTCTGAGGGGGAATTAAAATCACGGGAAATCTGGTATTGCCATTTTCTGTAAAATGTAAATAGCACAAGCTGTTAAAAATTGAGACATACTTAGAGTCTCAAGGTCTCACTTCTAAATTTTACAAAGACAAGATTTGTTATCAGTTCTTCATTCATAATTTTAATCACAAAGAATACGACCAATTCAGAAGTAACTGTTACTTCATGATTAAGAAAAAACAATTCTGAAGTTAAGCTTCTATCACTCAGTGGTGATTTTCAGATTTTGTTTTATTTTGAAGTATGAGTTTGGTCTTTTTTGTTTGCTGGTTTAGGCGTTTTGTTTGGTTTTTTTTTTAGAAACCGGTGCTGTTCCTCTCCCATTATCTCCCTATCAGCATTACATGTTCATAAAAATAACCTAATGTAGATGTTATCAAATTGTCTTATGCCATTAACACCTGTACCTACAAAAAAAAAAGTATTTTTAAGAGTCATTCTACTTTCTGAAAAAAACAAGAACACCTGAACATGTTCATTTCAATTTGTCTTTAATAAACTGTCCAGGATTTCTACTTTAAATTATGCAGTGCTTTAGATGAAGCCTTATCAAGGCAAGCATTCAAGTGCCTTCTAAAAGGTACGTTTACATTCTATTTATTTAGCAGGATATCTGTCTTTAACAGAGAAACAATATGCTAGAGCTCATTAAATGAGTGTTCTGTCTCTCATCACCACACTTCCCTCCTGGTTTTAAGCTGTAATAATTTCATTCTCATGTAGTATTTTTTACATAGATCCATCTGAAATTATTATTGTCATTTCCCTGTAAAAAACCACATCCAGCAAACATATGTTCTTTATTGTTGTTTCCCCCCACATATGAAAAATTTAAGCCTACATGAAGGGCAGATAACACTAACTCCAAGTAACTGCTGACAGTTTAAAATCAAGAAAAATAAATAACAAATAAAACCAGATTCCCCCATTTTCTAATCTGCTCCTGTCATGTAAGTAAGCAGTAGCCTCCAGACTTCCTTGGTCACACATCACTGAAGTTTGTTTATTTTAAACACAGCTAATAAGTCAAAAGTGTTTATGAACTACATTGATGTTTAGCAACTAATTGCCATTTAGAGTGATAACAGATCATTAAAGCTATGCTTTCAGGGAAAAAAAGAATGTTTATAAAAGTAAGTCTCAGAGCAAGGATCAGATGTTCTCTGATATGGCAGAGCACTACACACTGCTTGAATTTCAGCAGGAACAAGTGTAGGCATCTACAATTTTAAAAGCAGGAGAATATGAAGAAGGGAAAAAAATAATCCGAAACATCTAGCTTTCAGATGCAGATCTGAGCAACAGAGTCACACTTATTGCATACTGATGACTGTATATAACGATTTTATTTTTTAAAGGTTACTAACCAAAGCTTTAAATTAACTTACTAAGGTAAAACAGAGAAAACACTGAGTAATTTAAATTAAAGCAGGCTCCATAACACCATTTCACAGTTTAAAAAAAATAATTAAAGCAAAGACATTTTGTGCAAAACATACAAAACCTGGATATTTAATGTTGGCAAGAGAAGCTTTTATTGCTAAAACTGGTAAAACGGCTAAAGCTGGTACACAAAAAGCTATATTAAAATGGAGATTATTTCAAATTACATTTAATACTTCCTATTTTCTCCTAGTTTTCAAAGAAACAAAGAAAACGTACTAGGGAACTTATTAGCAACCTCTTGAGCAGAAACTGATTTGTCTGCAGCCCATTTTTAACTTCAAAAAAATAACATAACCTTACAGTGTTCTTTTAAGTGTTTTCAAACTTAATCTCCAAGGTACAACATAAAAGCCATCCAAATGTTTTAAAGCTTTTATCATGCAAAAGGTATAGAAACAAAACACAGACACATTATGAAGGTCATCAGTCTCTTTTAATGGGGGAACTGTATATTTCAATCTTGTTTAGATTAGTACATAACCAACCAACCACCCAACACAGAAACAAGTGTAAAATATATTTGATCTTGATTCAAGAAAAATGGGTCTCCCATTTCAAACTGAGGGCAAAGAAGATGTAGTCCGTACTTTAATAATCCATATTTATTATAAAATACAACTTTCAGCAAGTCCATATACATTTAACATGCTTCTGCCCCACAAGTATATTACTAGAAACCCTAAAAACGTGGAGTGTGAACTTCAGTATTTCCCTTAGAGACATTACAAAATCAGAGAAGCTAAGTGCGAAAGAGTATTAATAAAGAGCCAAAAGCCTTAAGCTTTAATAAAAAAAAAATCTAGCAATAACTGGTACATCTAGCAGTTAGTCAACACAATTGCAAAAGTATCTTTTATTATCAGAGTGAACTGTTGACTATATTGACAGAAGAAAACACACAGTTTCAAGTATGTATTCATCTTAAATATTGACCTTCAGAATTAGTTCTTTTAATATCTTGTTTCCTGGGAGGCGAGACCCATTTTTAGAATGCTTACTGACACCACTAGAGAACAATTCTGTTTGTCAAACCAGCTGATATGTCTTCAATTTTATTGGTAGCATACCAATTGTATAGTTCACTGGTGACGTTCTAAATATCTGGTCAGAGACTAACAGGTTGCTGAAATAACATGTTAAAGACCAAAAAAAGTATCTGAGGAAATGATTCATCTTCTAAGAGAAAGGACAATAGTGCATTCACTCCCCCATTGTATAGAAAAATCCTAACAGCACACTTACGGAAGTCAAATGTATGTATATTTAAGAATGTATATTTAAGATCCTATGCTACAAAGCATTAGATATTTTAACTGATAAAACTTAAAATATTCTGCCATGCCATAAAATACATACTTGTACTTTTGAAAGAAGTTTGGAGCTTCAAAAAGTTTGGACCACTCTGCCTTACTCAGCAAAATTTCATCTGTGATAGCAAGACCTAAATTATAAAAAAACATTTCAACTTGTTTTTTTTTTTAAATACACGTTAGTACTCAGAGTAAAAACAGCTTATTAACTTAACAAAGGTTATCACAAATTACTTCTCCCCTTCAAATTTAAAGGAACTTATCAATAAGCTTCATATTCCAGTCACACCCTATGTGGTCATTAGTACCTCAATAAAATATATTTAGAAACATATGTTAATTGATCAGACTGATTATTTCACCTATTTTTGCTTTGCAATGTAACACAGCTCAATTTAATCTTTTGTGTATGCCAAGTAACTACTCCATCCAAAGAGGAGAGATTTTTTTTTCCCTTACAGTATTTGAATCATCTATTGTGCCAGGCATTGTACAAGGCAAAGGAAAGGTGAAACAATAAGCTACTGCTCTACCTGAGCACACTACTGGTAGTTGCTCTCTGTATCAAGTCTACTCCTTGCTTTGACAACATATTTTCTTATCTACTATAATTGTCCAAGTAGATTACTAGGATAAATCTAGAGGACTCATCCCTGAGTGAGTATACTGTCTTATATTAGGCCTAGAAATGGCCATCAAACGGGATTACTACAGTAATCTTCCATGTGGCAGGACACAATCTAAAGTCACTAAAATAAACAAAGATATTGTACCATTAATTCTCATTTTCAGAGCACAAGGCATTCTAATTAATTACCCTCAGTTTCTAAGAGTGAAGGACAGATCCGCAGAGTCTCTACTCATCTTGGACCTTTAAGCCACATCAACCTAAGAGACCAAGCTCTACCTCCCTCAGAAGAGAGTCTCATGTCAAGAAGCTGTTTCAATATCCTCCCACCTACCCCTCAGAAAGCACACTCATAATGGAACTATTTTAAATCTGTTTGAATACATTTATATAGAGAGCATAAGAGAATACTTACCTTGTTTAAATTCCTCAACCATGACCATCCGTGTGGAAACGGACACATTGTAGGTAGAGTTCTGCTGTGGGTATGCTGGTGTAATTATAGGCATAAGATGGTACCTATCACTGGGGTTTACCTATATATAACAACAGCCAATCAGTTTTCTTCAAGCATACATATGAGTTAACAAATTTGGACTTTTCCCTTTACTACAAACAAGTCTAAGATGTTCTAAGAGATCTTAGTTTGCAGACCACGTAAATTTCCCACAGTTCAGAGAAAGTTTAGAAAATAAGATAATAATGCTTTCACAAAGGACATTGCTCTGAACCACAGTGCTGTGAGAGGACTGTAACTTGTCAGCACATCGAGATCAAGTTGCAGGCATTCTAAGTCCAGAAATATCAACTGAACAGAACATTTTCTCTCTTTAATTAGCTTGTGATCATGTCAAAACAAGGATACCTTATCACCACATAAGCACCTTCAGAAGAATGACTGTCTTCAGACCTCGTGAAAAATATTTTGTATTTTATTTTTGTAACCCTACTGAAAACAAAGAGCCACCTTAAGACTAGAGGCTCCAGGCAACCTGACAGAAGCATCACTTGCGTTAACATCTCTTTTATTACACAGCACACCGGGAAACAAAAAAAGAGATAAAACAGACAAACGAAACATTTGAAATAGCATTAGGGTAGCAATCTTCTAGATGGTAATTTAAAGATAAAAACCTGTCATTAACTTACCCCACTTTGTTTAGCTACTACAACACAGGCAGTTCCCATCACACACTGACCTCGGATCCCCTATCCCAGGCATCACAAGACTCAAGAACACTTTTTTAACTGTTTCACATTATTTAAACATGGACTTTTGTCAACCAGAAAAAGAGATTTGAAGTACAAAACGGCATAGAACAACTCAACCTCTGATGCTTACGCTATTCACTAAAAATATTAGTTGAACACTAACTATTCTAAAATTGACAAAACAGCACTGAACACATTCATGCTACGGCCTACTGAAACCTCAGAACATGAGCTGTGCTTCTGCTGCCAGCTGTTTCATTGACTGCCTGAAGGACATGAATGTCTAATGTCCTTAATGTAAGTGCTACAAAGATAGAGCTCAATTATAATAAATAATGTACAAAACAAGACTTCAAGTTATGGTCTTCTTCGGTCCAAGACGAAAAGACAATTACTGCAACTATGTGGAACCAAATATATCCAGTTGTGACTGTTGCACTAAAGTGAATTCAATATACTTGCAAAGTAACAGGTTTTAAGTCAGAAGCAAATGGTTTTAAGAAGTTTTTCAAAAATGCATTTCTTTAAAGCATATATCTAATTACACTGAATATTTATTAAAATCACTTATTGTAAAAGTTGGGAGTAAAAAGTACATTGTTCAGCAAGTGTGCTTCAAGTGGTCAGTTTATAAAATTAAGCTAACTTCATTCCTCACTCAGGAGAACTAGAAGTTACTTATAAAGAAGACATAATACCAAAATATTAAGTTTAACAAACCCAAAATGAAGCTCACCTAGGATTGTTTAAGCAACTGAATTTATTGTACAGTGTGACTTATAGGGGAAAAAATAATACACTAACCCTTGGGTCCCATACAGGCAAATTAAGATTGCATTCTTCTGGCTGTTTCAATAGCACTGGATTTGGCCATTCCCTGTTCAAAAAGATTGTAGCACTGAATAAGACTATTGGATACAACCATGTATGTTCAACAAACAATACTTTTGAATGCCATCCTTCCTAACCCTGCTCTCAAGGTATAGCGTCATTTCCTCAAGACTAAGCTGGTCTAACTGGGTTAAATAAGCCGTATTGCTAAACTACAATACAGCTGTAATCAGCTTCTCCAGGGCATCAGAACAACGAATTTTCTGCAGTCTTGGAGCTGTATAACCACTGGTTTAGGTAACAAAAGCAAACTCCTCTAAATTCTTCTTTAAATACATCTATGAAAGAAATTTCTTTGTGAAGATTGGAATTGGGTCCATCTTCAAGCTAGCTGTTTCAGGGACAAACTACAGAAGAAACAACCAGCAGGATTAGAGCATTACAGTACCATTACAAAACATATGTATTAAAAAAAACTCCAATCAATACAAAAAGAAGCCATGCTGAATGAAACACTAAAGAAAGAAAACACTCCTTCAAGCCATCTCTACTCCCGTGCATCCAGTTATCTTCTTATAAAGAGCAGAAACCAGTTAATCTGTTGGTATTTGTGCGTTAATGCTCCTACGCTACGCACATATAGAAGGGACAGCAGTGTAAGGGACACGTTGAACAGAGCCTGTAACCGTTTCTCCTCTATTAGCTCAGTATGGCAAGGTATTGTTAAGCACTAGAGGCTATAAAGCCTATGGACTCAAGACAGTAAAACTGCGCAAAATATCTTCACGTTAAGAAGGAAAGATACTACTACTTGAAGTAAAGCAACCACTCAGTACAATGATTCTTAAAATCTATAATGTTTCATGAAGAATATAGGTATCCAGACACACTCTTTATGAATGAATACTCTTTTTCTTGAATTTACAAAGTACACTTCTGTCCCATTCATTCTAAATTTACTTGGACTGTTCCCATCACTCCCAGAGTTATTCAAACCATCTTTCTGAGGTAACTAGCTCAGGAGTATGAAACCATATGTAATTCCAAAACATCTACCTCGCCACGCTGACGATTAAAAAACACACTTTTGCCACTGGTTCTCCTGAATTGCATTTAATCTATGTGCCTAAACACACCTCCTTTTCCTATTATCTCAGTATCTGAATGTTAAAAGACTTTACGTTTTGGGGTGTCTGCTCTTATTCTGCACTATATAAGTATTTTATCTGAAGAGCAATGTTGAGTTACAACAAATACTTAAGAAAATTTTAATTAAAAACTGGGTGGTGGTGTTTTGGATACTTCAAGAACAAGACATGTTGGATGACTCACTGAAAACCTCAAGCTAACAACTCTCTGGCAGCAAGAACAACGCTTATAACTACCATCTTAATCTGGCAACAGCTGAAAGTGATACCATAAAAACAGGACTAAAATTTAGTGTCTACAAACAATTTTATTTTAGTGTTATCTAAATTAAAAAAAACAACATACCATTTAGAAAATACCAAGAAAAACTTATGTACAAGAGTTGATGCTATTGCATTTGGATAAAGCTGGCAAGTTCTTGCTACTAGCATAGCCCAGGAAACACCGCCAAGGAAACCTAGTATATTGGAATAGATGTTGTGGCCTGTGGATTCAGAAGGAAAGAGACAAAAGGAGTGAGTTACCAGTAACCATAAGAGTTAATGAAAACTTCACAAATTTTTGAATAAAACTGCTTACGTTTTGCCCACAGTTTGATAGCTCTCAGTGTTAACCTGAAGTTGTCAATGTTTGGTACTAGATGCAGAATTTCATCGGTTACCCGGCAACCTGTCAAAAGAAAGAATCCATTAAGCTTGCTGGCTCTAAAGTTTTTTGCTGGCTTACCCTCTTCCACCTTCAAAGCTTTTAAACTTTTTAGATCAGCATGCTGGAAACTCATCACATATTTTCATCGCTTTTGTTTTGAATTAGGAAGCTTAACATATTTTGTTTTTTTTTTTCTTTTTTTTTTTACCGTTTTACAGCAGCACTCAGGAAGAAAATTCATGCACACATAGTTAAAGTTTTGGATATCTTGACTTTCTGTTATTAATGAACTATTTAAGAAATACATGAATTTTAAGTTCTGCTGTTAAAGGATTACACGTAGTGTATGTATCATAGTACACATGGACAAATTAAAAAAGCATGAGTTGTCACAGACCTACAGAAAACCTGGAAGTCATAGGTCAAAGTTTTGTTTGAATCTGTGAAAAAAGGCTAAAACCAATAGTTTTTAGACATATGAGTTGTATCATTACTGTGATGCGATATTTTCAGTCTTATGAATAATATTAGAGATGATCACATTAACTGCTTTTTAAATTTTTTGTTTAAATCAAGAATAAGTAGTTGCTCATAGTTACTAAATTGTTGCAGAGAGCTGGTTCCAAGAAAACAATATTATCTAAGGCTAGGAGTTCCTTTCAAAGCAAGTGAGAGGCAAATATGAATTCTAGAGACTACACAAATGTGAATTTCACAAAACAGTGAAAGTTGCTGTGGCAATCTCAAATTATCAGGTTTTCAGCTCATAACAGAAGTCAGTGGTATACCAGCATGCTCCTCCTCCCTGACAAGTTGCATACAGGTCCCTACCATCCTGTACATAAATAACCATTTTTTAAGCTGTAGTATTATAGAAAAGTTAAGGTTACACAAGCCAGTAAGCTACTAAAGACCTGAACTGAAACTGACAGTATTTTGATATCCCAAATTTATCACTGAAGTAATTTTGTGTATGTTTATGCATATTAAACATACAAATCAGAAAACATGCATACACGTATTTACAGAGATAGCGCTCCACATAAGTCTTGCAAGTCCCATCAATTTCTAGGAAGCACCATTTACTACTCAAATAAAAGAAACAATTTTATAGATACCTACCCAACAAGAAACAACCCTTCTGACAAAACAGAGATACAAAACTGGCTCTGACTTCATCTCTAGATATGGAGTTGCTACGTTTTCACTCAAGTCCACAACTAAACTACTGTTATCAAACAATCTACGACACCTATTAAAAGATTAGACGAGACGTTTACATGCAAAACTGTATATACATACCATTAAGACTTCGTATGCATCTAATGTCTAAATTTTTAAGTAGGCTATCGTCTCGTAGGTCTAAGTCCTCGGGAATAGTTTGCAGTGCTAATCTTGCAAACAAAATATCAATCTTAAAAAAAAGAGATAAGACATTAGAAAACTGTTCTTTCTTCTGTAGAATTAATTCTGTAGCCCATTTTCATCAAGTTTACTAGTAATAACAGTAGTCTTCCTAGTACAAAGAATCTCTTTAAACAATACATACTAACACCCTTCACAGACGTTTAAACAAACACTGTCAGATGCTTCATCTATCTTACAGCTCCTTTTTCAAGAGGATAAAATACACATTAAGATCAATACAGAACCAGTACGCACATAAAACTATGCTGACTGTCAATGCAAATAAAAATTATTTGGCAACAGGCACCACTTCTAGGTGCGGAATACAAAATCCTACTATGTCAGAGCAAGTCATGAAAACGTAATTGAGTTTTAACCTAAATATTCTCAAAATTATTACTGAATTACAGAAAAAGTAGGAGACCTTTCCCATCCAGCACTGTAAAGCACACATGCAATTAGTTGCCTCTGTATAGGACCAGTATCTATGAAAAGTCTAGATACCTGATTACAGAAAACAGCAAGTTCTGAAAATCCGGCAAGATACTGAGCAAGTGTATAAATTTCATCAATTTTTTTTTACTATTACTTCTGCAACAATTTTTCATCATAGGTTTTCTAGGTCAAGACCACGTAAGATACTCTTCAGTACAGAACCAGAGTTTTACATTGTCCCATACACAGCAGGAATATCTACACAGAGCAGAGAAGTCAATTTGCCTTTCCAGTCTTAGACTAGGGATCAGTCAGAACGAGGAGAACATGAAATGCATATCAGCAGCTGGTCTGCTAGGCAACAAGCCCCCTTCACAAGATGAGGCTTTTAATCATCGCAAATTGGTAGTACTTCACCTACAATATGATGAAATATGTAGTGCTATTGCACCAAGAACAAAACCGTTATAGTTACTTAAAATTAATTCAGATAAAGCTGAAGATATCTTAAAATGAGTTAAGTTTTTGTAGGTGCTTGTAACCCTCAATCCATCTGTTTTAAACTATGAAGTACTCCAAAGAAAAGTAATTTCTGAAGTATTCAGTGAGCTTTTGATTTTAAAGTCTTTAATAGCTGGTCTTAACAACATTCTGCAGTACAAGTAGAAGTTTCTACTTAAGACAAAAGTACTGCTTTTCAATGTAAAACAAGTTCAGAATTAACTTCAGCTTGAAGTTCTGTTCTGATCTCTAGAAGGCCTAGCACTTCTAATGATTCAAAGTTCATTGACAATAAAAGGATTTTTCAAATCAAGAAATGAATAACCTATGTCTTTTTTTGGGGCAGAGGGCAGTACAGGGAATCACTTTTCTACAGGAAAAACAACAAAAAAAATCAAGTAGGTTCTTGTTTATTTTAAGCAAGAACATAGAATGCATATGTAAAAACTGGTATTGGCAGAAACTTCTTAAGTTTAACTGACAGGATGACCACAAAACTACAGTCCTTTTCCTCACTTCAATGGTTTTCTTTACAGAGAGAATAACTTCTGACACTTATTGTCTGCATTAGGAAAAGAAAAATTTAATTAAAATCTGATAGTGACATACTGGGCACAGAAATTGTGGCCTAACAACACCTGAATATGTAAAAAGAGTGCCTATGATAAATTAGCATTCAAGACTAGAGAACTCTCATGCAACTCTCAGCAACATGGGTTAAGTCTCAGTCATAAGCCTAAGCCATCAGACCCCATCAATAAATTATTATATTGGAGCAAGATACTACTCCTCTTATAGTAGACAATTCTTTTATTCCCCTATTTAGGCTTGCATTTTGAATTCCATTTTTTAAAAAAGGAGAGACAACCGGCTTGAATATAAACAGCTGGAAAAACAAATACAAAAAAACCAGACTAACCAGAGGATGTCTATAGCAAGTTTCAGTATTTAGAATAAACACCTAAGCTATGTAAACAGAAAACATTCTCTACAAAAACGTTCCTCATACCCAACTGTACATGGGCAGTAGTAAAACAGCTGACAGGCTAGCTTACTGCACGGCATTATGTTTCTCTGCACATTGCTCTCATTTGGAGAAAATACATCTCATTGCCTTAGCATCAACTGCCAGTGACAACAAATAAGTAAAGCTGAGTGGATGAGGGCAAAGGGGGTGGTTCGTCTTTCTGAAACTCAAAAATTGCCAGTACCCTAACTATTGACCACTCGAATTGCAAGGCAGAGATTTAACTCAGACTGCGAGAGAAGGAACTGTCCAATCTTGCGTACAATACTACAGCTCTTCAAATCATGTCATATGTGAGAAGATGGGAATTAGCATGGGAATTCTTTTCCCACTGTGAAATATCCTTCTTATACCAACCAGTTACTGGTTGACATAACCCAGCTACAAGTCTGATCTACTGTGTGTATGAACAGTTCATATGTTTTTGTTTTGTCACCAAGAAAAGATGACAGGTTGACTATAAAACAGTCTGAGAAAGATTAACAGAGTATCTTTTGAAAGCAGTGTTCCTGTTTTCTCAGCAACTTCTCCCAAAATAGTAAAAACATCAAGTTAAACAAGTTTATCACTCCAAGAAAGCTGATCCATCAGTCTACAGCCACCAAAACCTTTGTTTTGGTCATGTTTTACAAATGTCCAAAGAGATCACAACAAAGGGGCTACCCAGTTTGCCTTCACCAGTACATTTTTGAGAAGTAACAAACATCACAAAACTAGTAGTAAGCACAAGGTATTGAAGCAAATCTGAATTTAAGATTCGGACAGTTAATCATTAGCAGCCAAAAATTTTTTGAAGCTACATTATTTATGAATAGAATTTCTATTAAATGTTAAGTTTTAATGCCAAGACTGGTACTCTACAGGTCAATAAACTAATCAGTACAAGTGGGTATCAGTACCTAAAAAAGAACAAGGAGGTATTCTACACACAGCTCTAAGTACATCAAGAAAGATTTGTTTCAGTCTTAAACCACCACTTTAAATTACACCACTGAGGACTGTTGTCGAGGACTTGCGCATGAACTTAGGAGAGTCACTTTAACAGCATTCATATTAATGAATACTACACAAGTTATGAAGATCCTGAAAACTTTGTTTTAACCATATTCTACCAAAACAAAGCAAAATATGATCTTTACCTCTATTCCATCAAAACAAAGTTTAATAACTGGGACAAAAGCTTCTTCAACAGCCTAGGGGGAAAAAAAGTTATATTTTCAGTATAGAGAAGAACATTTACAAGCAGTAGCTAGCAGGTTTAAACAATCATCATGAAATGCTATTTACACAGATACTTTTCTGTTTTCAAGTTGATTTTTGTCAGCAATGCCTTTCTCCACCATTGAGGATTTATGCATTAAGCACTGATCTACTATATGTTACAGCTGTCTAGGTGTTAATTATAGCTCAAACTCAAACCAACCAGCTCTGATGATGTTACCTCAAGGTCCAACTCTCTTTCTCACTACGTATAGGACATGATCAAGCATCTTTTACTCCTCACAGCATCTCTTAAGTATTCTAAGGCCAACCTATGGGGACTCTTACTCTAAGAGGTCTGTTATTCCCATTGTTTCTGCAGTCAGTATTTTATGAGAAGTGATAAAGAGATCAATGTGTAACTATGCAATCTGACTTACCTAAACCAGTTGCAAGTCACCCGTCTCCAGAGTTCAAGCATCTTTTCTAAATGTGGTCAGCAATACAGTACTTTGACAAACAGTATCCATGATGAAACTTATGGAACTTGATGTCTACTCTGCCATCAGCTAGGAATACTACCTTCCTGAACTGAGCATCTGAACTAAATGTAGATCTGCAGAGCACTGCTTTCATAGAAGCAAAGAAACTGCATACCTCTGAATAAGAAATGTCAGAAACTGCCAGAGGCTAAACACGGATCTATAAGTATACCAGTTCTTAACAAGAGGAGGAGACAACACTACTCTCTATTCACTTAACCTTAGTTAAGATTACCTTAATGAAACTGATTGGCAGGATGGATCCTAAGCCAAATCTGAAGTTCACAAGTCTCTCAGTCTCACTCACTAGAGCAATCATTAAGAAAGACTAGATTCCCTAAAGATGGGTATGTACAAACTTTCTTAGACCTAGCTGGAATGATTTAAAACTGTTATGGTACACTGACCTAAAGGCTACTTGCATCACTGCAGAGCTACACTGAAGCGCATACATTGATCTACCTTGCTGCTGAATCAACTACATTAGCTTGAGTTAGATAAGATTTACAGCAAAGTTAATTGGAAATCTGAAAATAAAAGTCCTCTTAATTATAGCACGTGAATTTAAAGATTACTAAAACAAGTTCAGATAATAAAGCATTCAAAACAGTTATTTCAGTGCATAAAGTATTACCACCAGATGTTTGCACTATCCTGGTAGTTACCAACTACAGGATGCATAGAGTGAAAGAATGCAGCACAGACTTCGATTTATTTTATGGGAGCAGGACTAAACCAAATAAAGTTTAAGACCTGCCAGCAACTATCTTCATCTAAAAAAAGAATTGCAGCAGAGAAAGTTTTCTCTGAGCCAACACTGAGAATATTAAATCTCCCACCAGTTGACCCAGGGAGGCATGTCATTTAAGCATAATAGAAACAAAATACTGTATATCAGTGTGTCTTCCATTCCTACAAGAGAAATCTTCATCTTTCCATGCTAAAAATCTTGCACAAGTATCTAATAACGAGACAAACTAAAAATGTAACTTCCATTTTCAGTTGCATAGTTGAGAGCCAAAACAGAAGGTTTAGTTAATATCAACCACTGTAATTCTTCATAAGCGCATGAAGTTACAAAAACTGCAGCATAACAGCATACTTTAAAAACCTCATTAAAAACACACGTTTGGTCCTGATCTTTTTCAAGCTAACACATTTGCATCTGCCTGTTGCTAGAAAGCAAGTAGAAATTTGGCAATACTAGCACATGTGATAGATCATTCTGCCATCCAGATCTTTAAATGAGTCTCTCTAGTAAGAGGGAACAGAGAAGACGTGGAATAATCTCTATGTATTTCAACTATGGCAATAGGCTTTGCTGCAGGTTAACTAAAAATCCACTGCAAGCCTCAATAGGAAAGTTGTATTTATTTAATGCCATCATCTTTCACTATTAACTTTTCAGTATCCCCAATTCAGCTAGCTGTATCAGGCAGTTCACCTACCCGCAGATCTTTCACTTCTTCTTGTTGTTTCAGTTTTTCATAAAATGATGTGAAAAAATCACTTCTTTCAACATGTCTTGGTGCAACACACAGGGCATCAATATCAGCACCTGAAATTGTTTATTAGCACAAGTTACTTACACTTCAAGCACACTAAATGCCGCAATAGCTAGAAATATTTTTGAAATCAAACAGGAAAATTTAGTTTCTCTTCCTGGAGAATGGCTTTTCTTTGAGATTGCTAAATCAAATCAAATCTTAAAAAAGTTCATGGCCACTAAGCACATTGCATACATACACACATTCTTCTTTCAATTGTGAAACACTTGCAGCAATTTTCAAAAAACAAATCATGAGAAGGCAAGTATACAACTTTTTTTTAAAAAAAAAACTTCCAACTTTTTTGTCTGCTTCCCAACCCATGACAAAAGGATAATATAGGAATGTATTTCTTTTATTCAGAATGAACACTGGAGATGGCTGACAAAAAAAAAATTTAACACCACCTCAAAAGAGAGCAAGTTTCTGTTACTTAAGTGTGACATTTACAGATATATCATTAGCTCAAACACATGAGTTTTACTATAATAAAAGTAAATGTTACCTTTTGTATGAACCCCTAATCTATAGGATCCAAATGTAAAAATTTTTCCTCCAACATTTTCTATTACAGACTGTGGAAGATTCTAAATAGAGCAAATAAAATTGGTTATTCTACCTTAACAAGTTATAATGACACAAACAATTTATTTTAAAACAGAACGAAAACAACATAAATTTTGTGCAATATTTTAAAGTATAGTTACTACTGAAATAATAATCTTAGTATATACAGAAAAGACAGAGATATGTTTGCCACTGGGGAACTATTTGTAACATTTCAACTACATTACACATTACTGCCTCAAACTTGGTAATTGTTCCAGCAGTTCTACACTTCAGGTGCAACAACTTTAAAATATTATGGACATTAAACATTTTGCTTAATACTCAGGCATTTTAGACTGACTTAGAAATTGATGATGGATTCTAATTTAAAGCAACAGAAAAATACTTTTTACAGTATCAGTGTTTATTAAATTACTTTCAGAGACACTCATACTATGTTCTTTAAATAAAAGTTTAGTTTCGGTAGAGGTATTTATTTTACGTTAAAATTGTTCAGGTACATCTACTAAAGTTCTTAGACTGGTATCTTCAAAAAAAAAATCTTGAATCCACAGTACTGTGGCAAAGACAGTTACGTTACCCTTTCACAACAGGATGCAATGTTACATTCTGAAGCCCTACATTAATGGTTACACAGCAAAAGATAAAAATTGAAAACGAATTATTTTGCAATATATACTGGACTAACTTAAGTAGTTTCCAATCTTACACCAGTCAAGACACTTTCACTATTTTGTTTTCAAGGATCAACACGTATATAGCAGGGTTGTCCCCACCCATAATTTTGTTCGTATATAAATTCCCATTTCATAAAAGAAGTGTACAGAACACACACGATCCTAAACACACTCAAAGCAAAATAGCTTAAAAAGCTAGGTTTTTTTACCCCTAAAAAAAGCCACTTCCATCTTTACATTTTCACCAGTCTATAGTAATTCAAAAAAAGGTGTGGGCAGGGGTGAGGGGGAGAGCTGTAAACTGGGAAAAACACTACTAACATTACCAGAGACTACAAAAGTAACAAGACTGACATTAAAGAAAAAGACCACAGATCGTAAAGCTGAAAGATGACCATCTTTAGATCTAGCACTAGTTCACAAAGCCAATCAATCTAGGCATGTAATTAACATACTATACATACGTATTTTAACAAAAAAGTCAAGCTATATTTCTACCTACGGAAAACAGGGAACAATTGAAAGTTACTATGACTTTTTCCAATACTTATCAGTTTCTTTGACAAGGTTCTACTTTGAAGGGGTGATGCTACCATTTACACAAAGGTGGTATGTTTTTCAAATTTTATCAAATTTGATCCCCAAATCTAAGATTTCTAATTCCCATTCAGACTGGGAACATATTTTGGAGTTATCTTCCTACAGCAGCCTTAGTATAAGCAATTCCATGTAAAATACATCCATACCTTGCTTTCACTGATTTCCCGTATCCATTCCTTTACCAAGTTATTTAATTTTCCCAAAATTAGAATCCTATTGATAAAACAGGAGAATCACACGTCATGAACTTAGACCAAACTAGTAGTATTTTTGAAAACTCTGATCATCATTACACCGTAAGTCAACTTCAGTAACATTGCAGATCTAATAACAGATCTTTTTATATATACACACACAGAAATAAAGTCACTCATACAACATTTCCACTATTTTTTTCCCCTTTAAAGATGTTCGAGTGATTTAAGCTCAGGAAAAAAAGCAAGCATGACAGGCCTACATGCATTTTAGGTATAGGAACTCTACTCACTTTCAAATATAACCTTAATTCACAAAACACATGCACCTAAAAGAACAGAGAGAAGCAGTACTAAGAGCAAAAAACTCTAGAAAACTTAAAAAGGAAAAAAGTATAGGGGCCACTACAATTCAACAGTTATGAAAGGGAAAAAAACGCAAGCCAGACTCTGAAATTTTAAGGTCATTTTAATTCCTTCCTGTGTTCTGAGGTATTCATCTTAAGGCAAGAAAAATCCAACTTAATATTCCACTAGGCTTTTAGGAAAGCATTTGAAAGAACGTAAACATGTTCGGGGTTCAGTAGTCAACTACATCAACCTCAAGATAGGAGAAAACCACTGCTAGAGTGAGTACTCACCTGCGTTGCAGTTCTTCCTCCTCTTCAAAGACACCATAAGGTTTTAGGGTTTCAATTAATTTCTGGGTAAGCATGCAGTCAAACTCCTTGGGGGCGGCTAAACTTATAGGAGAGGTAATGCCATAATGCTTCTGCAGTTGCTGTGTTTGTGATCCCTGGGTTGTAACAGGACTAATAAAGGCAATTAGAAAAAGTTACTGACAGAAACAAAACAAAAATTTTCTAAGTTATTTTTTCGTCATCAGAGCAGCACACAAGAGACACATAATAAGGAAATAAAAAGTCTGTTAGCATTTCCATCACACATCAATCTGCATTAAACCTGTATTATTAAGGACAACAATAGAATTATGTTTCTCCAATTCTAAATATTGATTGCACAGTTACAAGTTGCTATAAAGCATAAACTTTTGCATCAGCTGACTTCACACACTCAAAACATTCACCTAAGTAAGGAGGCTGAACAATGTCAGCTCAATCTACGCTGGCAATATAACATAAAGCCTTGCTTCATTAGGGGGGTGGCGGGAGAGTATTGGAGGTTTGTGCTAGACTTCACCTAGCACAAGCACCAAGGATGTAACAGTATTCTCTCCATATCCCTCATGTTTTCTTAACAGGACGTTTTACTTCATATAAATATTTCTCTAAATAGGAAACTAAGCCTTAAGCAAACCTAACTCACCACAACAGATTAAATCTGCAAAGACCCAATTACAAGCCCTCACAATATCCTTGCCTTGCACTTTTCAAGCTACACAGATACAGAGCCAAACCTAAAGCACAAGGATGATACTCTGAAGTCAATCCCCCATATTTCAACATTGCAAGCAAGGAGAGGAGACCACAAAAGAACTTCAGCAGAAACACAAAAGTAAAGTTACCATCACATTGTGAGAACTAGTAGCAGCTTTCCTAGATGAGCACCCTGGATAAAAAAAGTCATGCAGTGTTTCATAATGGGCATATATTTGTCTGTGACTTTCACATTTATACATAGCCTTATTTTCAGAGCAGTTTGAGCTTTAAGGCTAGGAATTCTAAGTGTTTCAAAACTAAACTTGGTCTTGTGTAACACACAAATGTTTGGATTCAGTGATTTACTGTATGCTATACCCGTACAGTTAAAACTTTTTTGAACTGATACTAACAACAACAGGTAGCCATTAAAAATAAATTAAAAAGTCCTAAATATATCCAGTATTGTAGAAAAAATTATGTACTTTAACATTTAAGATGGCCAAATTTCAAGTTTAAGAACACTTGATCTTCCTCATTATATACCTCACAGATTTAACAAATACACTATTTAAATCTGTTTTTAAAAAACTCTAAAGGTTACCTGCAGAATTTAATACTAGTTTTATATTGATAATTTTCCTCTATATTATTAATATTATTCCACCGCCTTTGATTTTTGAAAATGATGAATCATTGATTTTAAGCATACTGAAAAGCTTCTTTTCTAAAACCAACTTGTTAAATTAATCAACTTTTGAGACCAACAAAAACATCATGATCACTCATCGAAATATACATTTCAGAAAATGTGGCTGTTATATCAACAGCTATTCAAAAAGCCTTACCAACAATTAAAGCAACTATTACCTAAAAGTTAAAGCAATGCTTATGTAGAAGTGTTACATCTGCATTAAGTTATATTCTTACTATGTAAGATTACACCCTTTCAAAGGCATAAAGTAATGTTTTGTTTCACACCAAACATGTAACTAATGTTTTAAATTTGGATTATGCATTAATATTTTTTCCTGATTTCAGTTATTGATTGTACTAGGGCAAAAGTTTTATCATCAGTTTGGTCTCCTTAAACTTTCATAGAGCTAAAGCCTAAAGAAGAGAGAATCCTCCATGTCAAAAAGTCAAGCTGATAGCTTATGTGAAAGTCTCATTCTTGGCAAGCATAACGTTCCCCTGTATATTGCTGTATTATCAGTCCTTGATGTTTATACATGTCATATACTATTTCTGTCATAAAAACAAGACAATTTTTCAGGCTAACTGCATATTTTGTGTGGAAAAACTACAGCACAACTTCACTTTTACGTCCATATCTGTTGTCATCACCTTCTCAGGATTGCATTCCTCATTTCCATGAGGACTAAGTATTAAAAAAGAATATCTTGAATTAAAATTGATGGGAATCAACAAAACCTAATATAATTTTCCACAAGTTAAACCCATTTAAAAACTATTCTAAGCTCTATCATTTGTTTGAAATAAAGAATTCAGTCACAATGCAAGTTTCTCACAAAGCAAGTTTGAGCACATTTGGTCTTTTGCTTGTTAGCAAAAGGAAAAATAGCAGAACAGGAAAAAAAATTGTAAAAAAATGTACATTATAAAAAATAACCCCTCCCAAGTAATCATTTCTGGGAACGTTACTTGACATTGCCTCCTTCAGCTAAGAGGCTTTAATCACCTAATGAAGAATTTGGTAGCAGCTAAACAAATCATATGGACCTTAGGACTTTATGTGTGAATGAAAACATTCTAAAAAAAGCTGTTCAGATGAATTCCATAAAACAGTAATTCAAATTCAGGACAAAGGAAGACACTTTCTCTTTAAAAAAAAAAAAAAAGAAAATTTAGGAATGTCAACATAAATAGTCACTGAGTTGCTACTGAAAAAGCAGTCAGAAAACAAAAGGTCTCAATACATAAACATCCTTTGGATATTATTATTTCTGTTATTATTTTTACTTACACCACAAAGCAAGTAGTTAAATTTGAACTGCAATTTCTCCCCTTTTGCCAATGGTAAATTTTAAAAAATTAATTTGCTTTTTAATTTCAGATTTTGCCATTTATTTTTACAAGTTTTCAAAACAGTCATCTAAAGTAATCAACATTTTAGTTTTGTGTAACAAATTCCTGACAGCCTGACTGCGATTTTCACCCATCCGTAAGTAGAAACTGTATCCAATCCAACAGATACTACACTCCATTGAAAGGGCTGGCAAAACACAGCCAGGCAGACGCTGTTACTAGATTTGAAAAGAAGACTCAATGTCACTCAGACCTAGATTCTGTGAAGCAGACTCCTGAAGTCAGTAATGCTGACAGAGCCCTCTGTCTTCCACCTGCTTGTAAAGGTCATGCTTTTTCAGTTTGAGAACTAATAACTTAACAGTAGTCTTTCACCTTGCCCCCAAAGTTACAGTAGGTAAAAAACAACCAAACATCAGATCACTTCCCTGATCTGGTTTACAGCATCACCCTGTCAGTGCAACGTGCAGCTCTGCTTTCGCAACACACCACGCTGACATGACTTAACCCAGGATTATCCCCAACTCCTACAGGATCATCAGGGCATGGTTACAGGGCACAAAATAAGCTCTGAAACTGTTCACTAACACAACAGCTTTAAACAACCTATTAAATCAATCACCTGACACACATCTTTGGGAATTGTTCCACAGAAACAGTTACAGCTTTTACAGTTACTGCTTTAATATTCATGTCTTTTATAAGAATTAAATAAGGATGTTGTAAATAGCACAGGACCTTTCTACACAAATGTTTTGCCTGTGTTTAAAGGTAAGAACACTTTCACTGTGATGGTATGTAACAATCTCAGCACAGCTATCTTCTAGAAGATTTTACAACTCCAGAAGACATGATAAAACTTACATTTTAACATATATTAATATCGAAGAGAATATAGGTTATTTCCAGATAAAAACATTTAATTTGAACCTCAACTGTTTACACCTGCTGAAGTTGAGGCTATTCTAAGGTTTCTGTGTCACAACAAAGGATGTCAGAAAAGTGCCTTTGTAAAACAACAAAAAAGGTATTTGGCAAGAAAGTTTGTTAAACTCATTTAAGGATGCAATAACTAACTAGTGCTAGGTAACCCATGTTCATTCATTTAAATGACAGCAAGTCAAAGTTACTAGAAAACAAACATGTAAAGGTATAACCTCTCCCCACCCATTACCTCCCAAGAAACTTTAAAGCATTTGCTAGCTGCTTTTTAAAAGAAAAATAAACTATCACTGAGAAATAAACTGTAACATTCAGTGCTCATTTTTCCAACCTTAATGTTGCATTTACATGTAACATTTTAGCCAGGAACCGCTAGTGATCAACACTGTCAGACTGATCTTTTATTTCTTCCTAAAGCCATGATGATCACATTCCACTCCAGTATCTTCCCTCTTGAAAAGACATATGGACATTCTAGGTTTTTACCTGTGACATGGTATATCACTCTTGGAATCTTAGTGTAAACTACCAAATTTATTCAAAGAGAAAGGACAGGTTAAGTACCAATGCTCACCTTCTACCTAAGAGGATTAGGGAAGTTAAGGCCCTAGGGGGAGGGTGTCAATACCTTTGGCAGTATGTCAAATCTGCTAGTCCTGAAGTTAAGCATTAACAAAAATCAGAGAGTATTAAACAGCAACAGAAAGTCCTGTCCCAGCTACTCAAACTTGACAAAAGCAGAGGCAGATTTGGCAGATCTCCTCAAGGTCTGACATTCAACCCATTTCACATTTAGGGCGTGCTTTTTTTATTTTTTTTTAAAAAAGGCACTTTTCTTTTTAACATCATGAAGAAAATTAAGATAGCATTTGGGGCTTTTCTGTTTCCAGTCAATCACACATACACATGAAGATCTTGCTCTGCTATGAAAATGAGCTACCTGGCAATAGCACAAACATAAGACAAAGTTGCAGAAAATCATGTAGAGTTAAATTCAACATGCTGTTGTTGCTGCTCTGGTTTGACTTGAATTTTTGAAAAGCATATGCTGACAGTTTAAACCATCTGCAAATTGGGAAACAGCTACAGTGGTTTAATTCTAAACTGTTACGTTCCAATACTTCATATTCAAATATGAATTAATCTAATCTCTTAGAGAAATGCACATGTACATTTTCCTCATATAAAGCCAAACACACAAAGTTCCAGTCGTACTAAGTTGACAGCAGTACAGTTAAACAACTTTTTCTTCAGAATTCAAAGTTTTGGTAGGCAGTATCTTCTTATATTGTTACCAATAACTACTGAACTAAAAAGAACAAACCCTGCTAATATGGCCACTGCTAAAATCGTTTTATAACAGAGTGCAGATATGGAAGTAAAAAAAGTTTGTAAGAGGCTTTGCAGTTTCCAAAGCTGTACACCTTCAAACTCCTTCAAATGGAAGTGA